GGGGGGGGACGGGAAAGGGGGCGCATGCGCATTTTAGGTGGAACTCTTCACCCTGCGCCTACCCAGTAAGTTTGAGGGGCCTCGGTACTGTACCTTAAAGGCACCAGCCCCCTCTCATCTTCCAAGCTAAGCAGGGTCAGCCCTGGTTGGTCCTTGGATGGGCGACCGACAAAGTATACTAGATTCATAACCGAGCTGGGAATCGAACCCTGGTCTCCATAGTTATAGTTCAACGCTCAAATCACTACACCATATATGTCTGCAAATTAACAGGACACATTATTGCCAGCAGGTCACCTCAGAAGATGGGAGCCACACATTGCCCACAATGCAACCCAGGCCCCCATGGAAGCCATTGGGCTCAAGGGGCTTTGGTACACTTTGCTATTTTTGCCTGTGGAAAGCTGAGGTTAAAATCAAAGCCTGTGAGGGAGCGGATGGAAATACTAAAATAAATCTCTTGGTTTTCAAGGTGCCAGAAAACCTTTTCCTCTTTCTTTTTATTACACTGAGGGGGCATCTACACTGTAGAAATAATGCAGTTTGACACCACTTTATCTGCCTTGGCTCTTTCCTACAGAATCCTGGGATGTGTAGTTCTGTGAGGCACCAGCCCTCTTTGGCAGAGAAGGCTAAAGACCTTGTAAAACTACCAATCCTAGGATTCCATAGGATGGAACTACAGCCCTTAAAGTGGTGTCAAACTGCGTTATTTCTACAGTGTAGACGTACCCCAATCCCACTGTAGTGTCTGCGGCCTGTTTGAAGCTGAAGGGGATCCCAGTTTCTCATGCTGTGACCCCTCTCTAAACAAACGGTTGTTGTGTGCCTTTGTCTGACTTAGATATCATAAAGCGAAGTTTTATTGGAGGAAGGGGATGTGCCTTTGCCTTCCTCTGAGGCTGAGAGAGTGAGACTTGCCCAGTGGGCTTCCATGCTCAAAAGGGGATTCGAACCCAGGCCTCTTAGAGTTGCAGTCCAACACTCAAAGAACAGTACACTGTTACTGTTGTGTGCCTTCAAGTCCTTTCTGACTTATGGCAACCCTCTCATAGGGTTCTCTTGGCAAGTTTTTTTTTAGAGTGGGTTTACCACTGCCATTCTGTGAGGCTGAGAGAGCGTGACTTGCTCAAGATTACCCAAAAGATTTCCTTGGCTGAGCAGGGAATCAAACCTGGCTCCAGAGTCACACAGTCCAACATTCAAACCACTACACCATACTGGTTCTCCTCTAAATAAATCATCAGTCCTTGCAGCCAGCCTGGTTTGAGCTATGACTCTGGAGACCTGGGTTCGAATCCTGGCTCGGCCATGGAAACCCATTGGGTGACCTTGGCCAAGTCACACTCTCTCAGCCTCAGAGGAAGGCAAAGGCAAAGCCCCCTTTGAACAAAACCTTGCCAAGAAAACCACCATGATAGATAGGGTCTCCATAAATCAGAAACGACTTGTAGTCACACAACAACAACAACAACACAATCTAGTTCCTCCATGTACCCTCCCCAGTTTTTGCAAAATATCACAAAGAACCCAAAGCATGTCAGTGCTGCTGTCATTTGCCCTGGGATCAAACCCCCCCCCCCAAAAAAAAGCACTCTTGTCAGGGAAGGGGAGGTTAAGCCCAGTGCTTGCAACACGCAT